AGAGTTCCTGTTGCTCCACATCCTCATCAACATTTTGTATTGTTAGTATTCTGTGATTTTGGCCATTCTAATACCATGTTTCCCTGAAAATAAGACACTGCCTTATATTTATTTTTTCTCAAGAAGACACTCTAGGGCTTATTTTCAGGGGATGTCTTCCTCTCCATGCCGAAATGCATGGCATGGCTATGCAGACCATCACTAGGTCTTATTATTGGGGTAGGGCTTATATTTAACAAATGCATAGAAATCCTGCTAGGGCTTATTTTTTGGGTAGGTCTAATTTTCGGGGAAACATAGTAGTTGTGTGGTAGTATCTTTTTGGTGCAATTTGCATTTCCCTGATTAAATATTATGTAAGGCACCATTTCATATGTTTGTTTGCCATCTTTGTGTTTTCTCTATGAGGCATCTCGTTGGATCTTTTGCCAATATTTTAATTGAGTTGTTGTTTACTTATTACTGAATTTTAAGAGTTCTTTGTATGTTTTATATACTGGTCCTTTATCAGATATGTGTTTTGCAAATATTTCTCCTACTGTGTGACTTCTTTCTCATTTGTATAACAGTGTCTTTGGACAGCAGAAGAGTTTAGTTTAAATGAAGTCTTAAGTTTTCTTGTTAAAAAACTTAACAAGTTTTCTTTTACAAATTAGGCTTCTAATGTTGTATCTAAAAAGTGATCCTCCACGGCCTCTAGGTTTTCTCTTATGTCATCTTTTAAAAGTTTTATAGTTCTGCATTTTGCATTTATATCTGTGTTCCACTGGGAGTTAATTTCTGTGTAAGGTACAAGGTATATGTCTAGATTCATTTTCTTGCATATGATATCTCATTGTTTCAACACAAAATCTGGATTTTATGTGAAGACTCTGGATTTTAAAAGGTTGTTCTTTTTTTTTTTTTTTTCCGGGGGTAGTGGTAGGGGAGGAACTTTAACTCCCCCTCCCCTAACACCTCTGTAGGTAAAACTTACCCATCCTGGATCATCTCTGCTTCCCTTATCCTCCTTACCTGGAATACTCTTCACCAACCTATGTAAGTCTTTCCTAATGCCCATTTCATACTTTATCCACCTGCCTTTCCCAATATTCTGGCCTGGTATATGTGTTCACCAGATACTTGGTTAATAATTGCTTAACTCTAAACACACTTAGGACCTGCAAGTCTCATTTAGCATTTGCCATATGCCCTTGTCTTTCCTCCTGAGGAGGTGGGGAGACAGAAATCCTCTTTTTCGGGTTTATATGAGGTAGCTCAGCATGATGGATCTAGGCACAAAATAGGTTCAGCCAGACTTGATGATAATTTCAGACTAACTGGACATTGTTCCTGGCTTACAGACTGTTCTTTGATCTTCAGGAGAGGCAGCTACCTCAGGAGTCTAGCTGAGGACCTGCCAAAGAGTTAAACCCAGTAGCCTCACACTGGCATGGGTAGAATGTTGGCATCTCTAATTTTGATGCCCAATTTAGCACTACACTCATGTAAATGGGATAGTCACAATCTCCCTGGAGAATTAGGGAAGATTTACCAATGATAAAGCAAAAAGCATTCTTGGAGGTACCACTGTATCATGAGGAACAAACATGTTTCTTTCATTATGATTTCTACATGGTCATAATGATCATTCCAGTCATTATGAAAAACAGTAGGAAAAAAAGAGTGAAATAAAAAGAACAGATAGCTTCCTGGTGACTGGTTCCCTACCTTATGCCTAAGTGACAGTCAGAGAGATGGTAATCCTCCCACCCCCTGCTTTTGTTTCTTGTTTTCATCTCCATCATTAAATGTTCCCATTGAAGGATCTCTGTACACCTCAAACTGAACAATGACAGAGGGAATGAAAGGGTCTCAGAGCTGAGGTTGAAACCCAAGTGGTCTCGGCTGGTCGTGACTTGGCCTGATCCCCATGGAGTGTCTGTGCTGACAGACTTCTTATGTTGATTAGCTCAGGGAAGGCACAGTGGCTTCCACTCGCTGGGACAGCCTAATTTCTGTCCTTGCTCCACCTAGGCAAATCTAGGTAGAAAACAGCAGGAGGAAGGCATCCAGGAACGTCACCTTGTTGCCTTGGGTTTGAAAAACAGTAGTGAGCCTGTCTGCAGAGATTATGGGAGCTTTGGTGTGGCTCTCGCTCAGGAACATGGTAGGTGCTGGCATTGGTGCAGGAATCGGTGCTGCTTCTACCTCAACAACAGTCTTCTTTGACCTTAAGACTCACAGGTATTAGTCAGGCCTTACATGGCTTACAGGGACAGAAGTCTTTCTGGAAACACACCCACACTTGTACCTCCAATTCTTTCCTGGCATCACCCTCCCTTTCTTAGGAAAGCCCCCCAAATCTGCACCAGGCAGAAAATACTCCCCCAGTTGTGGTGAAGTGAACAGAGCAATTCCCAGTATATTATAAAAACAAATCCCATCTAGGCACCTCCCCCCCCCCCAAAATCCTAAGCCTCCTCCATCAGAGCTTATTTAAAAGATACTTCCCCCTCTCCCACTTAGCCATTTAAGCAACCTTTTTGTACATGCTGTACTCTACAGTGAGTCAGGGGCCCACAGCTATAAGCCACTGACAAACACAGATGAAAGACCACTAGTTGGCATTGGCTGGCTAAAATCAGGGAGGGTAAGCAACCTGGGGTAGAAATTCAACCTTACTCATGCTGAGCCATAAATAACTTCAGGAACTGCTAGATACAGAGATGTAAACCAACTGGAAGAAAGAAAGAAAACAGCATCTCCTTAACATCCAGGAAAGCGGGTATAGGAAGAGCCCAAGAAAGCGATGCCTGGAGACAGGGAGGCTCTGTAGGCCAGCCCCACCAGGGAGAGCCAGAAAAGGCTGACTGCCATACACTGAACATAGTCAATCATTTTGAGGTCTTCAAGCACCAGTCTGCCAGGTGAACACAGGCACTACCCCCCTGGACAACAGGCAAGTAATTAAACTTCCTGCATGTTGGTACTATGTAAAGCTGCCAACAACTAAAAAGAGACCCAATTTTCTCAGTTTCAGATTTCACCCTATACTGTAGATAAATTATAAGAACCTCTTAAATCCACTTTGAAATCATTTTTCCTCCATCTTGCAGATTTATAATTATCTTTTTAAAATTCGATTCCTGGGTGGCACCTGCGGCTC